CCCCTCCCCTCCGGCCCCTCCGCCCTCCCCCCCGTACACACCCACATAACAAACAGCCTCCCAATTCGACCTTTTCCGCATTTCCTGGATTTAATTTCTTTTTTACCGTCGCATTTCTCCCAGAATGACAAGTCGAAGAGAGAATATATTCTGGCCTCTGGATCGTCTAAAAAATGTTTGGAATGAGCTAGGGGGGGAAAATGTTTCGTCCAGAAATGTGTAATTTGTACGTTTACTTAACAAAACTCATTAGTTAAATTGTCGGAAACAATTAAGTTTGACAAAAGTAGTAGAAAATAGATTTAAAAGTTTTGTTTTTAAAAACTAAAAAGATCTGTCATCTTTCTATAAACCATTTCAGGCTTGGTTGCAATGATCTTTATCCAAGCCTTTATTCTTCGTACTTTTCAAAAAAAAATTTCTATGATTTTCCTGGTTTTTTTTTGGAGGATTTCAACAAGGTTTAGTCAAGAGATCATGAAAGCATAATTTTAATCTTATTTTACTTTACAAATGTGCTACTCTTCAATTTAGAAATAATACCTATTTCCAAATTAAAAAATCGAGATGGGTCCCTTTATTACAAAAATTTTCCCGACATGGAAACCTACTATACTGTTTACTTTATCAACTCCCTGGGTATAGTGGAGAAAATCTGTATTTTTAGATATTTTCTGACTGTTATTAAAATAAATAGATTCATCTAAGAATAGCTTTTTATACTTTTACTCGTGCTAATACTGTTTTAGTAGACATTATTCTATGAGCAACAATGAATTTTTCTGGATTTTTCAACTTAATACTTTGACAAAATTTTTTTTCATATTTCTTGGCAATATAATTATTTAAAGCCAATGTATAACATTTAAAAAATCAGTGACCTTGGTCGCTTTTGCAGAAAATGTAATGATTTTTTCTGAGAATAATTTCTAAAGTTATTTTCAGGTACATTGGGCTATAATAGTTATTTAGTATTTTTTATCACTTTTCATTTCATAAGATTTGGCGAAGAACAAGTTCTCATGAAATTTTTGTTATATCTTTTTTGTTTGTCATTGTCAATAGATTTTTATAAACTTTTAAAAGAAAATTGCATCAATATTTTCCAATTAATTTCTGAAGAAAACATTTAGTTTTACAAAAAAAAAGAAAATAAGAGTATCAACTAGGAGAGGATATTTTTCTAGGGATTGCAGCGAACGAAAAGTTTCGCGAAAATGGAAATTTTACGAAAATATTCTCGCAAAATGCGAAAATTTCGTAAAAATATTTTCGGGGAAAAATATTCCGCGAAAACCAAAAGTGTTATATAGCTGCAACAACTAATTGCTCTGATAGCTCAATATTTGAAGTTTTATTAAGACATATTAATATTTTCTCTTCCTTTACTTTAATAAAAGGTTGATGAAGAGAATTTGATGTCTCAAGCTATCTTTCTGAGTTTCTGTCCGTCCACGTACATTCACCAAAATCCAGCTAGCAATGAGTCAGCCAATTACAAGAAAGAATCTTTTAATTTTAAATTTTCGGATGTTTCTTTCGCGAAATTTTCGCATTATTTTTTTTGCATAATTTTGCATTATTTTTTTGCAAAATTTGTGCTTTATTGTTTTCGCATTTTTTCGTGAAATTTTATCATTTTCTTTTTCGCGAAAATTTTGCATTTTTTCGCGAAACGATTTTT